CACTGATGGTGTGAAAATGAAGTCTAAATTTAATATTGTCTCGACTAAAAGGTAGTCGAGGAAATAACTTTGTTATTCGGACCAAAGTCTGAAATATTGTGGTCAAAAACATTCTTTTGTTAAGTTTCAGCCGCTATATTGCTGAATATTCTTCGGCTGCAGTGGTAGGGGATACCCTGGGTTTTATTTAATTTCCCCCCCCCCCCGAATATTACTTGTTTTTTTTTTTGTGTACACTGGCTATATAGCACACCGTGACTAATGACTCAAAATCTCTTCCAGAAAATGCTGTGTTATCGTTAACTGCATTTCAATCCTCCAGTGAAAACACAAATACCAATCACAAACTTAGCAAGGGGATCACAAATATGAACGGATCTATGTGGTGCAGCGCATGCCCAGTGGCACCAGTGTAGTCAAATGAGCTGAGCTGGTTAATAGCCCCAGTATAAACATAATAATAATAATAATAATAATAATAATAATAATAATAATAATAATAATAATAATAATAATAATAATATTATTATTATTAATAATAATAATAATAATAGTAATAATAATAATAATAAATAATAATAATATGAAAACTTATATGGCGCCCAATCCGCCTCAAAGATAGAGTACGCTCACGGCCCTAGACAAGAGACGGAGACAAGAGAGGAGGAAATGTATGTTGGGTTAAACGAGATGGTTTGGCACATAATAGCTAAAAACAGACCTATTGAGAATACGTCTACATTAAGGCATATTCTTTAACGAGATACATACACGATGCACTTTCTTTGTCAATAATATACATTGGAGGTCAGTTTTACGTTTCAACTTTTACAATCATCATCATCATCGCCATCATTGTCATCATCATCACCACCACCACCACCACCACACTAGCATTATCATTATTGTTATTCAGCTAGTGAAATCTGATTTTTTTTTTTTAAAGCAGCAATGAACATTGATAAATTTCGGAAAATATTTGTTTTGGGGATTTTTTGTCCAACCCGGCCTCATCTGTTTGTTATAATGTCATTATGAAATGAGTGTGTTGCATTATGTATAATGAATTTAAACGTGTATAAACGAACAGCATGGTGAATGCGCATTACAGCATGTCATATTGTTACTTATTTTTATTTAATCCATATTTATTGAGGATTATACGTTCAGCTTACCAATAATGATAAACCAAAATACACATAACAGGACGTCAAATGCACATAACAGCATGTCGAATGCACTTTACAGAACATCGGAACATTGGTGGCACTAGGGGGGGGGGGCTGGTCGCTCCAGTTGTGCCACCCCGGTTTCTTACTGTTGAAACTGCATTACGATGTCCGTAACTTTGTATACAACTTTACCATTATCCTAATTCCTAAGGCTATTGTATTTATCGCAGACAGCTTAGTATTCTTATTCTCTAAATCTATCTTATAGTAAGAGTCTTGTAAGTTGCTGAATTGTTAACACTGTTTAATATCACAACTGAATTTTGCGTGCTTATGCATCAGCAAATAAGTTAATAACATGATCAAAGTTAGCAATGTTGTCTGCATTACGCTCAATACTAAGTAGTGCCAAAGCAGATAGTCTCGCTTGTCCCATCGTTACTCTGAGCAATGGTAGGATGAGCTTTAGTCATATAGTCATATAGTCATTACAAAATAGGATAAAAAAAAAAAGAAAACAGTCGAAATGGACTGAAAAGAAATCACAATCTATAAATTTGCCAATACAAACAACTACATTCTTTGTTTTATTATTAACTGGAAAATATTCGTGCCTGACAACATACATCAATTTCGTCGTATTTTTCTAAAAAGTGCTATTTTTTTAAACTCTCATTCTCCCTTTTAAGCGTCCCCAAACCCAGCGCCCGGGGCACGTGCCCCCTGACCCCCTAACTACGTCCAACCCCGAGACAACTCCAAATTTTCAGGTCTCAAAAATGGTCTCGAATGGGAAGGCGAACTGTAGTAGGCTTTATGCAGGCATAGGTTTCATTGGCAAGCTTTATAATGAAGTGTACAGTAGTTAAACACCACGGACTTGAAACACTTTTTTTTAAATTATAAAAAAAAATTAAATTAAAAAATTATTTTAATTATTATTTCTGTAATATGTATTTTAGAAATGAATAATGATTAGGCTATGATTAGAAAAGAAAAACTGTATGTCTAGCCTAGACCTTACTTTTTTTAAAGATGGAATTTGTTTACTCAGGACGCTCAGAACGTAAATGCTGAAGTACTGTATAGGTACAGACAATGACAATAATTAAACAATGGTGACGATAATGATGATGATGTCTACGAATAATAAACGTGTTTGATTTCAGGTAACCTGCAGTGGAACTTGTTTTCTATAAGAAAATACAAACAATTTGATCATAATTTATGACTACAGCTAATTATAATGTACACATGGTGTGTTCATGATTTTGGATAAATTATCCGTGAAGCGACGATGACACTACAATTACCGTTTATTAATAAAGAAACTCAATGATAAAATTAATTTAACTTAAACATCAATAAAACTAAACATTTATTCCGATGCAAGACCACCTCATTATTATTATAATAATAACTATTGTTATTTGTATTGCTATTATTATTTATGTATGTATGTCATTAAGTAGATATGATAGGCTTAAACTTGTGATTATTATTATTACTATTACTACTACAACTAATTATTATTATAGTGGAGGCGTTATATCGAATTTTTAGTGCCACCAATCGTCACTGCGTCAAACGTCTTATATATTATATAATATGGTCGGTTGCTATAACTAAGTCTTCTAGTAAAATCTGGCTCGTGAGCACCTTAACAAGTTATGATTTCTGAGAATGACCCGTTCAGCTTACTATTACACTAAGGTCCCTCTAACATGAATATGGGGGCCTACCAGCATGTTAAATGCACATAACAGCATGTCGAATACCCTACACATAACAGCATGTCAAATGCACATGACGAGTGCACATAACAACATGTCAAATACACATAACAGCAAGTCGAATACACAGGACGAATGCACAGGACAGTGTGAAATGTACGTAAAAGCATGTCGAGTGCACATAACTTCATGACGAGTGCACATGACAGCATGTCAAACAATGTGTCGAATGCACATAAGATCATGTCCAATGCTCATAACATATAATCATATTGTCACATTCACATAACAGCATGCCAAATGCACATAGCAGCATGTCGAATGCACATAGCAGCAAGCCAAATGCACATAACAGCATGCCAAATGCACATAACAGCATGCCAAATGCACATAACAGCATGCCAAATGCACATAGCAGCATGTCGAATGCACATAGCAGCAAGCCAAATGCACATAACAGCAAGCCAAATGCACATAACAGCATGCCAAATGCACATAACAGCATGCCAAATGCACATAGCAGCATGTCAAATGCACATAGCAGCATGTCGAATGCACATGACATTGTGATTCCCACTGTGTATCAAGCAGGTCATTACCAAGGGCGAGGAGTCGAGTAACCGAGCGCGCGGAAAGGAAGGTGCGCTATCTAACTACAACACAGGGGTGGCGCCAGCGGGAGGGGGGTTGGGGCCAGGACCCCCTGTCGGGGAGAGCTGTCCCCCCGTCGGGGAGAAAACGCACTATTCGTCGGGGAGAAAAAAAATGTATTTTCTACATATTAGTAGACTCTAAAATCGGTTAAATAAACCTTTGAAACCCCTAAATTGTCAAAATTTTTTGGGGCTTCGGCCCCAGGACCACTTTCGGAACCTTTTAATCAAAGCTCGACCACTCCCACTTTGCTTTCGTCGGGGAATCTGACCCCTCGTCGGGGCATCAGCCCCCCCTGTCGAGGACCTCGCCGCCCCCCGACCCCCGTCGGGCAAATCCTGGCGCCAAAATTGCTACAGCATCGGTTCTATAGAACCAAGTCATCTCTGATAAGGACTTATAATGGAGGACAAGTGTACTAGTGTAGTAGCACCTGGCTCGTGTGTAATTTAATGAAGCTATTATATTGCAATGCATATTTCGGAAGATGTGGTTACCTCGATGCTATGGTTCATTTTAACCCCTGTTGTTGTGGAACGATGTGAACATGAAGAAGAAACTAATAAGTTCCTCTTGGTCGGCTAAGTAGTCACGGACCTCGCTCATACGCAATTCACCACAATGACGCTGAGGATTATGGATTATTTTCCTATCTTTACCTTTCACCTTTACCAATTCGTTTGATCCTGATTGTAGACCTGACAGGTGTCTGTAGATATAGAATCTGTACGCATAGTGTAAAAATTAAAAAGTTTTACGATATTCAGTAAGTTTTGGACTTTTTCTTCTAACTTTACTTTATTGCGTTATCAATTAACAAACAAAAAATAAACAAACACAGGAAACTGACAGACACATACTAATAAATAGATGCAAAAGTACGAGAACCACAGACGGTTGCGTTTGGTGTTTTTTTTTTTTTTTTTTTTTTTTTTCTTTTTTTTTCAATCTATAGGTCGGGTGTTTAACCCTCGCATTGAATTTTGCTTGCGTCATTGAACAAGGCATTTTTTGCTTGTCTCCATGCAGGAGCATAATTGGTTACCCAGAAGTGACGGAACATAGGGGGTGCTGCGTTATGGAGAGTAATGTGTGACCGGAAATAGTCTGCAGTCAGTTGGTTGTTACAATGCGCCAGTGATGTTTGAGTACAGCAACATGAAACTATTTATGTAATGCATGAATACAGTTCGGGGTTTGTCGGGTAGTGAAATGATTACAGTACTGTACATTTTGGTGCTCCAGTTACTCCATGCATAAGTGTAAGCTAAATTTCGGTGATTAATTAGCGAAGATATGGAGACAATTATTTCGAAGTTCCCTCTTTGCAAGAGGGGATGCAGTACGTCTGTACTGTATCGTGGGGGGAAGAGGGGTAAGCATAAGTCGGTTAGCCGCTGAGGGCGGAGTTCCGGGAACCCTGCGTCTAGTTAAAATATAAAGGGGAGGGGCAAAAATGAGGCGTGGAAAGGAACTGGTCACCCTATAACACACATGCCTAGTGCAATGTGCTCCTTACAGCTCATTCCACTACGTTCAATAATTAATACGGTTCTACCTGTACAAAACAGACATAAGTATAATTAGGCCTAATAGAAATGCAAAATATAACAGTACCGCGTGATCAAAATTTTAAAAAAATGTCCAAAATCAGAAAAGAAGACAAGCTGTCTTTATCTCCGAGTGTTGGGTGGTGTCTTTTTTTTTTTTTTTAAGATTGTTTACAGTGCAACTCTGCAGCAAAAAAAAAAAAATGGAAATTTTACGAAACGAGGAAAAGGGATGAGTAGTTATGGACTGTACTAGTGATTTAATCACTAAATTAGTGGGACTTTATGTTACAAGACCTCTACATTCCCTACGTAATTGAAGCCTTCTAGCCGTGTGTTGTAATTTGAATAATGTTTTATTACATGATTTCCTGCTGGGACCAATAAGCTATTCTAGCTCCACTGTAGCAACTACATATTGCTCCACTTTGTGTGAGCGCATTAAGTCAGTTGTATGAAAGAGAGACCTTTATGGGAATTAGATTGCGGCTATACCGTACAGGCATATGTCTGTCTTACGGTATGATGCTTCCTTCCATTGATATGAAGCGGTTACAAATTTGAATCTCGTTACAGACACTTTAAATTGATTTAGAATTACACGTTTGTATTAGTGGCATGCAACCATGTGGACGATGCATACAAAAACATAGACATAATATTTTCATTTGTTTTTTTTATATTATTTATTTTATTTAAAATATGTTTATACAGGATAGAATTTCATACAAGATGTAACAGTCTGTTTTTCAAAATGGTTATTTTGTTTCAATCTTAATTAAAAGTTTAAGAGTAATACATTATAGCAACCAGATATATATTTTTTAAACGATCTATACACATATATACATAAGGTATACAATGAAACAAAGTAATATACAATATGAATTGCTGTAGTCAACTGAGTAGACAACTCTACAAAATACACGATAATTAGCCGAGAAACTCCTGACGACTCAGACGAAACAGTTAAAGACGAAGGTGAAAGTGGCACGCAATTTGAAACGGCGAAAACTCTCAACTACCCACCAAATCCGCACATGATGCATCGTTAGAAGTCATCTAATAGTACAACTTCATGTGGAACTTAAAACAAAATTAAATAATTAGAATAAGTTTACTTAAAATTAATAATCATTAGATAGTAAAATTAAATTTAAGTAATCATCTCTTAAAATTACAGTATGTCCTTCGATGGGGACATAAGTTTTTCTCTAAAATTGAATATTGTCTTTGATTACCACCAGTGCAGGACATGTATCTCCATACCAAAGTTATACACGTATAATTAGCCTAGTCGGCCAAATATATGCGTCAAGGTACATTTGAAGATTGGTGGTGCCGAGGGAGGGGGAACTCAGAGAACACTTATCCGTTTTTCTCTAAAATTTAATATTATCTTTGATTACCACCAGGACATGTATCTTAATACCAAAGTTACACGTATAATTAGCCTAGTCGGCCAAATATATGTGTCAAGGTACATTTTAAGAGTGGTGGTGCCGAGGGAGGGGAAACTCAGGGAACACTTATCCCTCCTCCTTCTGTCATCTGACGCCACGACAAGGTCGTCGGACCAAAACTATTAATTTGCCTATAGAAATAACGTTATTTCTATTGCCAATCCTTTATCATTTTGGCATAATTGCCTGAGCGGATCTGCCTGTCCGATATGTTGGACTTCCTGTCGGCTAATTTCTGAAGCCACCACTATTCTCAAACAAAGGTCATGAAAAATATCCTAGTTACGCCACAAATCACTGTACATCGCGGAATTTGGGTATGTGGTCGAAACCTTTCATGTGTGAACTTGAGGGAAGTTCATATTCATTTGATCATACATATATGCACTTAAAACATAAACGCCGGTATAAACAATGTAAACAATGCCTTCCTACACAAAATGAGCAGTAGAAATTATAATATTTAATTTAATAATATTGTCTTTCTTTTTTTCAGATACTTGTGACAATATGTGTGACGGTTAGTTACAATATTTCATAAATTATTTTTAATAATTAAATGTAGTAACAGGAAAATACATGGTTCCTATGTAATAAACGTTCAAACCTAATAGCATGCAATATCATCAACAGTTTCGGGTGTTAAGAATATTGAAAGGAACTCCAGTATTTTTAATAATGTTTTAATTGAACGTGTTTCATGCTGTTTACATTTCAAATTGTTTTAATGTATGTTTTATGAGATACGAATAAATTAAATAGACAATCTGTGAAATTTTAAATCATCATTTTTAAAATGTTGTAAATGTTGTTCGCAACATAATTTGTAAATGTAAGTAATAATTTCCCACAAATATTTTCTGCAGATCAAAATGCAATCTGATAAAGTAGCAACATTTTCAAAAAAAAAAATTAAAAAAAAAATGCAATGATAGTGGTGAACAGGAACAATTATATTTTTAGTACAGTATATTTGTTGTCATTTTCTTCAATGTGTATAATATTTTTTTCTCTCTTTAGATAAATACCCGGTGTTCGACTGGTGGGGTTAGTTGCAACATTTCGTAAACTTTTGTATTAAGACAATTGGCACTTGGATAGCCATTGAATAGCTAAAGAATAATATACATAAACCTGACAGTCAAGTGTGATGACGTGTATAATATTATGTTGTCACATTATTTTTATTGTTTGAAATCTAAATTATTTTGTGTGTTGTCAATAATGATCAAAGTATTCATCATATTCATGAAATATTCATGGAATAACTGTCCAGACTGTAACATAAAACTGCAAGGAATAAAGTTCTAAAGCTTATTATATAGTACGCGCTTCGGGAAAATATAATCCTTCGAAAAAAATACAATTCTCTCAGGGATATCAATTTTTTTATTACACCAATAGAAATGAAATATCTGTTATATTACATAGCCAAAAATAGATGCAAATACTTAACTTTAAATATCAAGAACTTTTATTTAACTTTTACACAATATCTGTCATATTACATAGCCAAAATACTTCATATTACTGTCACTTTTTAAAAATGTTTCTGTTGTAGTCCGTAGCGTAGCGTTATCATTGATCGTTAAGCCTACAATTCACCGTTTGCTCTCCTTACCTCACAGTAGAATGACCGGAGAAACGTAACGCGTTCATGAGCTCTGTTGCTGTGAAATTTTCAATGCAAGTAGGCTAGGCCTAGGCCAAATTTGATGATTCCTCGGCCTTATTCACTGAGTGGGCCTACATTAACAGATGAATTCACAACAAATGTTGTACACCGAGAATCTTTTTCGTCAATAATTCTATCCAATTCGTCTTCGTCGAGAGATTTAAACTAATTTGAAGTCGCCATTTTCGAAGCGCTAGGCTTTCCACGTGAGCGATAGATCGTGCGCTCGACTAGCATTCTACGGGCGCA